TGATACGATGATATCTTGAGATACTTGAATATACATTTATAAAAATTTTTATAGATGTATAGAATATGGGGATTATTGTCAAAGGCTAGCAATTTAACTTTCAAAACCTTAAAATTTTTATCGAAGAAAATAAAGATATTATTAGCAAAACAATATATCCGAATACAAGTTGATACCTAAAAAGCTGCTTGATTTGTCTCAAAATAGAAAATAGAGAAAATATTGTATAGTATTCCACAAATTATCGAATTAATCTATGTCAAAGTAATTTCCTGTTTATAAATAATGTATTAAAGATTTACAAGTCACTTCTACCGGTACTCAGAAAAAGTAATCTTCGAAAGTGATGTGATTGCATTTGACTTCATCTTTCTCCAGCAGCTGATGACCATTTAAGCTTCCTTATTTCTCTGGCGAATCCGTTTTAGGTTCGCTTGTATCACGAGAAAAAGGTCAGTTGATAAAATCTTTTTTGTTGAAACCAACTTAAAAATGACCCTCACTTAGAACGACCGACTAGCCTTCCTGTATAGTTATTTCTGGTTTTCCTCAGTCCTCCTATAATTGAACTGCCTTGTGCCTTTCAATAACCCCATATAAAGGCTTACTTTTTTCGAACATTTAATGTCGTTGTTTATGCACCATCATATAAGAACTATATTCACCTTATTTCGTTTAGGCGTTTATGAATCCTTTCCAAGCGCCTCTTCAAACTAAATGAAGGTGCATTAACAAGTTTTAAAATACGTACACACAGCTGTCTCCCAGCACTCGTTCTACAATAGCGACACCACTTGTATAAATCACTCAACCTTACTGTTCGTTTGTGTTGAATTCTGGAATCTGATTGGTTCAGAAGGCCCTCAATTTGATTGGCTCAGAGATATAACACATTCAAACTGGAGTCGTATAATAGTACTGATGGTCCCGGCAGCCGAACGCGTATAAGCATTCTATAAATTAAAATATCTCCTTAAAAGACCATTTTGTCTTTCCAGACGACTGGGTAAACTGCGACTCTCAAATAAGACATTCATGTCCTTGTAATAGGCGCCATAAATTTAAGAGTGCCTATTCTCAACATCTATAATCTATAACTCTGATATGATATTCAAGACTCGTCGGATTAAAAGTAACCAAACCAAATTCCTTATAGTCTTTTATCATCTTCCTGAAAAGGTCGCCGACTTTGCCCAAATTATGCCACGTAAAAGACAGGATACGGATTGCTATGAAAAGATTTAAGCAACGGATCATCGAAACCACGCCATTTTCAAAGGCATAAAGAACAGAATTTTTATTTGAGACATTATATTTTCAATATCAAGGGTTTTCAGTCGGGCTCATCAGTGTAGGGGTTTGACTCTAAATAATCTATTTAGCTAAAGTGATACCTGTAATATGACTCTTGCTTAGCTTAAAAGTGGCCATCAATTATTTGTTCGGTAGATGTCGATTACTAACCGCCTTATTTGGTTAAAGCGTTCTAGGGCCCTTGGGCTAAATTGTGCATCTTCCTAAAAGTCAAGCTTAGTGTAGCCGAGATGGATTACACAAATATGGTCACTCAACCTAACTAGGGTGTAGAAGCCAGATGTCACAATAATTAGTATAGAATTCAACAAATTGCAAACCATTGCGAGGATGTTTAGTGGTGTTGTGTTATAACAATAAATTGATAAAAGCTGTTAATGTATAAAATCTCGCTGGCACTATGAATTTACGACAACAACATGGAAATAGAGAAGGACATGAGTGCCTCATTTGAAAGTCGCAGTTTACCCAGTCGTCAGGAAAGAGATGGTCTTTTAAGGAGATATTTCAATCTATAGAATGCTTATAAACGTTCGGCTGCCGGGCCAATCAGTATCACTACACGACTCCAGTTTGAAGGAGTTATATCGCTGAACCAATCAAATCGAGGTCCTTTTGAACCAATCAGATTCCGGAATTCAACACAAACGAACAGTATGGTTGAGTGATATATACAAGTGGTGTCACTATGGTAGAACGAGCGCTGGACGATAGCTGTGTGTAAAGCAAATGACATAACAGTGTGATATTGAGAAGGAATTGGGATAGGTCACTACAAGTGTATTGGTCTGTAAGCTGATCTGCCTACATTGTGTTGACGAAGAGGCTTGAATGTACTTAGATGTTTGTTTCGTCATGCATCTGAAATGCCTGACGTCATTCAGAATGGACTACAAGTTTGACCCTTCCTCATCGTCTCGTCAACACCATCAGCGGAATTCAAACAGTGAACGGGAGAGACTAGAGGCAAATAAGTTACATCCTAAGTCACAGTAAACCACTAACATGGCATTACCTCACAAGTTTGACCTTTAAAGTCGGGTAAAATATTCTAAATCCACAGATTTTTCCGGGACTTTGCATCGATAGTTAGCCTCACGTCCAAGGTTTGAGTCCCACTGAAGATGCGGATGGGATGAGGAGGCACGGTCGAAGTTACAGTCGGGCGCATAATGTCATGGAGAGAAGCTCGAGTCTGGTTGGGAGCAGAGTCTTTAAATTGGGAGTCACAAACTTTCCTAAGTTTTTCATAAACTTTCACTCTAAACCCCACCCTTTTTTGCTCCGTTTAGCACGATGCGTATACTGGAGATTTGATCTACTTCAACATGTGGAGCTACATTTTTGATCATCCGCTTAGTGAAGATTCGCGCAACCACTATAAAGCTTTGGCTGTCGAGGAATATGACCCCTCTTCCTTGTCTCCGCCCAAGCCTTATCGGCCCAACGACGTGTGTGCCTTGGGGGAGGATTGCATCCTGCACTATTGCGGCAACGTTGTGCAATGGGCTGAAGTCAGATACGGCATCCGCGGTTCTCTGCGGTTTGTCTGGCCATCTGGCCTAATGCGTAGGTTTACAGTCAAGAGGATCAGCCGAGTGTGTAGACTGGCTTGTCCGCGAAGAAAAGGATCCTTATCAAGAGCCATTGTTTGTGCTTGTCTGCAAAATAATTGTCTTTTTTTCGCCAAAATACTTGCTACTGACTAGGCGCACTTCTCTTTGCTCTCAGAAATTAAGTTTCAGAAAATGGTAGTGTTCGGTCTCATGCAGCAGTCTTGATTGATAAAAAATAAAAAAATAAGCTTAACTCGACGCCTTCCGTATGGACAATACTTTTTTCGCTTTTACATTAGTCGCCAAGATGCCTTGAAACATCAATTGTATAGAAGTTTCTTTGGCCGTTGTCAAGACAAGGCCGAAAGAAACCCATGCCATATGAAACGGACTTTAGAAAGCTTTTTTGGATCGCTTAAGGAGTCTTCAGTCTAAACTTTTAGGAAGGTTAAACAATGCTTAACTGAGATAAAATTCAGGTACAGGATTGCGGCAATAACAAAGTGATTTTCTGATTCATTAAAGAATGACTCGATGGTAATTCAATGTGGTAATATTTAAGCTATAAATTATACATTACATTCAAGCAGATTCTGAAAAATCAGCTTGCCGCCTCTCCTATCTTGTAAGTCGGAACTATTTTTTAGCATTAATGACATCTCATTATTAGATAAATCTTACAACTCTTTAACATTTAACGTATGTTCGACATTACGTTCTTGTCCATTTTTGAAATAAAGGGCTGTTTTATTTTGGGTGTGAAATAAAATGAAGAGAGGTCATCATCGACAATATTGCAAGTATTCGCCCTAACGACTGCAGAATTGGGGGCTGCCATGTTTAGTCAGTAGTATCTGAAGTCCTACTCATTAACTAAAAAAGTTGTATCCGTATTATCGGTATTATGAGAATATGCCTCAGACCTTTAATTGTTCTATGAATGAAGTCTTTGCATCCAAGATTCAAATATTTCTAGAACAATTTATAGGGAAATATTTCTGACAATGCCAATAATTGCATTCACGACATGAATTTAGAAAAGAATATATTTCAAAACAACTTCTTATCTATTTTCTAAGCTAAAGAAACAAATGAGTTCATCATCAAAATTATTAGGAATGTACTTTCTAACGACCTCATAATTGAGGGTTTCCATGTTTGGTCAATACTATCTGTTATTAAAAATGCTCCGAACGGTAAATTCTTTAGCGAATAAAACTTTGGCAGCCATGTAGTTCCAGACCAAATTGTAGTAAAGTATTTGGGACCAGGCTTACATTTTCGTTCACGAGAAAAGTCCTTTCGGATAAACAGTAACATGATATATTAGGTCGTATCGATATTTTTGAAGAGTACTTATCTATTATTTATTAATTTTGTCCACTGGAATAGGAAATACAAGTTCATCTAATCGACATCAATTTTGTTGTAAATTTGATTTGGGAGAGACCTGTCTGCCTTAAACGTCACGCCTGCCCTATAGTCCATCGGTATCCGTGGCTGTAACGTAAGTTTAACTTTTTGCTGGTTCTACTGAGTTGGGCGAGGATAAATGTACACCAATTGATTTTAAAGGTATTTTGCTTACTTTATGATTGCAACTATAATTATTATTGTAATGAGATGTATTCACCCTATTTCGTCTAAGGTCTCGAAACCCTAATCTCCTACGAATATAATTATTATTCTTTACATCACTTCAAATAACCTAGGTATCTCGAATGATCATTTAAGGTTTATTGAAAATTGAAAAGCCCATTCATTTATTATATAGAATGTATAAGGTGAATTAAACTGTGAATCATTTCACATACAAATTTAGGTTATGCTAATGTTAATAGTTCAACTAATCTGAATTTACATTCGATCAGAAGAACGTATTCAAAATATTTATTTAATGACAGAATAAACATTAATTAAAACTGGTTACAATGACTTCTTTCTGTCTATTTTAGTAATAAGCATAAGATTATATTATACAATGCCAATGAAAGAACATCGCTAGCTCTTTAATTTTTGTTAGGGGGACCTTG